AATAATAATAATAATAATAATGAGACAAGGAAGAATGTGTGGTTTTTTTAACCAAATACTTTTTTATGATTAGAACCAAACACAGGACTCCAAAGGTTAAAAACCCAGTAGTTTATTTCAAAGTATAAATCTCAGGCTTGTCAAGACAAAACCCCACTACAATTAACACGTATACAGACACTAATCTACAATGCATACAAAAGTTAGGGAGAACTTGCCATTGCCCTGCTTAATTCTGGACTTTTTGGTATGTCCCACATTATCGTTATTTACACATTTATCTGCAGAATTAAAATGAAATCAGAGTGCAAGTTTATGTAACTCTTTTTGTAGGAGTTTTGTCAGTGCCTGATAAACTGCTGAACAAATACTCCAAGTTTTAGCTGTCTGGTTACTATTTACAAATAAAATGTCTGTGTAAGACAGCATTTAAACTATGTTTCAGACAGGTAAAGCCAGAACAATAAGGTAAGAAATCTATCCATGTGCTTTAAAATATTATTTAAACCCAATGATGAAATAACACATTTTAATGTGTATTCGTATTCACTTGTACATTTTATTTGCAACATAAAACTGGTTACAGGAATGATGGGATAAGTTGCCTTTGGCAATACTAGAAGGCCCTCCTCTGTGTTGCAAAAACACTGGCACCCAGTTTCCAAACACAAAAAAATATTCTCAATATCTGAACATCTTTGCCTTTGATTGAATGGCAATACATTAAAGGATTCTAAAGTGGCATCACCCTAACCTGGTTCTGTTTTGTGATTACAGTTCTAGCTAATACTGTAACTGGCTGTTCAGGAAACCAGCTTTAAAGTTACTGACACACTGGTTCTGTATGTAATGTGGATTTCAAGGATCACAAATCTTTAGACAAAGAAACAATTGAAAAGGTAAGCCTATGTGATTTATATACAATGCATGTTCTAGTTGCAGCAGCCTTCTTCTTGCTCCCACAGATGATAACCTTGTCCTGTTTCCCCCCGCCGAGTCTTTTGCATATAAGATAAACCTGCAAGAGAAACAGCCTTGTTCCAAAGATACTGAAAATTCAGCCTACAGCTACTCTTGATGCTTTAATAACCCTTGAGTCACATAGTTTACATCTTTCTATGTGCAAAGTTCTTACAACATTTACCAATGATTCGCAATGTCCAATCTTCTATTAGGTTGTCAACATAGAAAGTATGATGTGATATGCCCCTCACAAATTATACCTTCTATTGAGGTTCTACTTGAGAAGGCTACCTAATATTAGAAAAAGAATGGAAGATACAAGCAGATTAACTAAGAGCCTCAATAGGAATTTAGTAGCAACAGCAATTATCCCGCTATTTTCTCATTTTTGAACATCAATCAAATTTTCTGTTCTTTTTTCTGAAATTGAGTTTTCAACCAACTAAAAGATGGATTATCAAATTATTAAAGACAGAGAACAGAACATTGCTGAAATATAGATGATAAAACATACTGCAATTTCATTTCTAATAAAGTAGAGAACAGATTTTTCAAGCATGGCCCAGCCATACATTACAGTCTGGATTGGAAAAAAAAATACTGACACAGCACAATATGGACACTTACATTTTCCTTGCTCTCTCTTTTGTAAGATCCTCAGAAAACATTTCCTTTGCCCAGCCACTAATGTATTCAAAGTGCCAAGTGAGCTGCACAATTATCACAGATGAAAAGTCTAACAACTCTCCGGTTTGTGTTGTGCAATCTAGTTTACCTTATATTACTCTGACAGAAAGAAAATATTATTTTAAAGTATCTGTTGCAACCAGATTCTCAGACCTATAACCTATTACCTCTTCTTTGGGGCAAAAACTCAGAAATACAGCACCAAATGAACTGTGATAATGCTCCCAACTGAGAGCAATTTCTGACATCACAGTTGAAGGTCTCTGTTCTGCCTTACTCTGTGTTGCACTACTGTACATAATTTGCCAGGCACATCCAGCTGTGTCTGAAAGGGAAATGGCCCCATTTGACTTTACAAATCAGAAGACACTATCACTTGAAGAATCCTCATTGGACTTAAAAAAGTGCACCTGTCACTTGTTTCATAGAATTCCTTTTTGATAGAAAAGAGAACACTAAGCAAAAGCATAATCCTTCTTGCTGTTATCTGCTCTATCTTTCTGATAACGGGTAAGAGGAACAGAGAATGAAGGTATAATTTTCCCAACACAGGATCCCTCTGAATATATGGAGGCAGTGTGCATCTGTTTTTGTTTCATGACAAGTTCCTGAATGTTCTGTCTTTGTTTAAAATTTATGTCCCAGGTACCCCATCCAAAAAGGTGTGCTATATACCTAAAATGCACTTCCCTTCCACCTGCACTCAGGCTTGCCTTTATTGCCCAAGTTCAATAAAATACAAGAGGAAGGACCACTTTCCCCAGCAAGACCGAATGCAGATAATAAACTACATCTTTGGCTACATACAAATGGGATCACTGGGACTAACAGCAGACTGGTGGGCCCTTAGGTTTTCATTCTTACCCTTAACTTAAATGCATCTTTTAAATGAAGTACTCCTTCCACAGTTTTTGGGCACTCTTCTAACGGCAGCCTATTTCTTAGTATCAACAATTATTAAAATTAAAGGTGATATAAATAAATACATGCTCCACAAACTGAGACAAAGATCACAATAGTGGGCACCCTAGAAAACTGATGATTGATTCAAATAGTGAGTTGCAAGCAAATGGGCAGACAAAGCATTCCTGTTTTTGAAAATGGCATCACCACTGCTGTACCATGTCTGATGCTTGAAACACAGGAATTCCTCTACAACAGGAGTAAAATCTATACAACTCAAAAACAATTCTTAACTAGAGCCATTAGGGAGAGAAGCCAAAATATATGGAGGAATGTTCTATGTCACTCAAAAGGAACACAAGGTAGACAAGGACACAAGATGTACCCTATGTAGAACAGCAAGAAATTTTACTCTACTTATGTTCCCACAAGAACAGTTTAAGACCCTGTCTTCCCAAAATACACAACATCAACAAGCTTCAGGTTTTTTCCACTTTTTAATCTTACATTTCACTTTCAACGTTACTGGCTTCAAAAAAAGAAGTTATAGAAGGTGCTGGCATCTTGGCCAGGCAATTAAGTGAGAAGACCTGCTACCCACTCCACAACTGGAGCTGATAAACCAGGAAGACAACAGATGTGTGGTGCTTTCCTCTGGAAGACGGCATGGTGCAGCTTTCTTCAATGTCCATGTCAGATGTGGCTTAGATGTCTGTTGTGGGTACTAGCTGTTGGTGGAGGAAGGAGGTGGAGGCACTATACTTTTGGCTTCACTCAGCCACTGAAAGGATGAAAGATCATATGAAAAAGTATATTTGATTGCTTTCATCAGGAGGCTTTATCAGATTGGCCTTACACAGTACCCCAAGTATTTGTGTCTATGTGAGAATAAGGCCTCTTACACCACACATGTCTTTTGTGACAAGTTTCTAGTACATATCAACTAAATCCTCCAGAAGAATGTGGTGAAGCCGAATAATGTAAATATTAACCCATCATCACAGATTATTCAGAATAAGAAATTGAAATATCTACTGGAATGATTTGGTAATTAACTCAGAAGCACTGAGTAATATACTTATTGGAGAGGCTATGATATTCTGGGACCTAGCAAGAAGAACTGAAAAATGATGAAGGGCAAAAGAAGAAAGAACTGCATTTATTTTTGAAATTATTGTTTAAGGCACAAAGTAAACTTTCTTTAAAAAGGGGGGGGGACACCATAAAAGGAGGATTAGGAAGCTACTGGAAATGGAGATGAAGTTTTAAACAATCTTATTTTCAGTCCAGCTTCAAAATGTTCCCTGGTCCTGGAGGATGAGCACTTTATAAGCTAGCCTGACCACTGCTATCTCCTCGCCCTGATTCCCACTTGAATGAGCAGACCCACACACTTTCCTCAAGAACTGGCCACATGTTAAGTAGATGACATTCTTTAAGATAAAACTGGTCACCATTACAAAATGAAAGAAAGCAAGATCCTGAATCCTGGCTTCCTTCTAACCTGATTACTGAATTCTTCATCCTGCTCTTGAGCCATCATTTCATATTCTTGACCTTTGAAATATATCACTATGAAGCCAAATTCCCGACTTGGTGTATCACTACTTAACAGGTAGAGGGAAGTGATTGTGAGGGAAGGAGGAGAGCACTTCGTACTCCCAATACTTCATAAGAAATGCAGGCTCTCTTACTGCAGGTTAAGAATTTATTTTGTTTTGGGCTGTAAATTCTGTAGTGTATGACATAACTGTCCAAAATAATCCTGAAGAGGGGATTTTACAGTGGATTTCATGCATGAGAATAAACCCAAAATCAGAATAATCCACCACTATAGGACGAGAATGGAAGCGTTTGAAGTCTAAAATTTAACTGCTCTGGGAAGCAATGACATCTGTTGACTGGGGATCACAGAAGGGTCCAAAGCGTCCAAAGATGTCTTTAGCGCGAACTGCAAAATAGTATTTGCTGCCAGACACAAACTGTGTAAGTGTGCAGGCCATTGGTAGGGGGAGGGCCTTTACTTCCCCTATCTTTTTCCACTGAGAGGGCACAGTGGCACTGGGGTCCTCATGGTATGCATACAGATGATAACTATCCACACTGGCACAGCTCCGGTCCACTTCCAAAACACTCCAGGAGAGCACAATGCCATTCTGACTTTGTACACGAGCCAACTTCAGGTGTGGCTTCTGAGGCAGAGAGGTATTGGCAGCTTCAGGAGGCAAGCGTGATGGCTGTGCGGCCTCTGGTAGTGGGGCTGGATGCACAGGCCGCTGCGGCTCCTGAGGAACAGACAAGAGAAGCAATGAGGGTGGCAGAAGAAACTGCTTTGTTATCCTAGCTTAAAAGATGCACTCTATCAGCCACTTTTAGTACCTCCAAGATTGGGACCAATTTCAAGCTCTCAACAACAACTTAAGTGAGAGACTAGCAAGTCCCAAGAAATGACTGTATACTCCTTTGTTTCAAGAAGAGAAGTTAGTAAGCCAGAGCCTTTTCTTTAACAATGGAGGAGTGGTCTGTCCTTTAAAACAATAGTCTTGGAATGCCAATACACAAACTATGTTCCTTCACCTGCATGAAAACCGTCTTAAGAGATATTCTCCTGTAAGTATCTTTTACTGCATACAGTATGTAATAAAAGGCAACATGAAATGGGGTGCTCAGAAGGAAGAGGGTAGAAATGTCAGTTAATCTTTATTAGATAAGGTTTTTAAAATATATTTTTTTCATTGGGTCTGACTTTATACCTTTTGTAAATATTGTTTAATATCACTAATATGCTACTATTTCTAAAATGCTGCAAAAGTTATTTTATTTTATTGACTGACTGATAAATTATACTAGTGGAAAGCCACTACTCTGGGCAGCTATAAAAGTAATATAAATGTACAGATAAAAATTAAAATAATAAGCATTCAAAAAGCAAGAACTCATCTTAAATCCCCTCTGTCTAACAAGCATTATTACATTTCAAAATCGCAATGCTAAAAAACAACTGATTCGAGCATTAGGCAATTGACTGTCACCCTCGGGTTGTCACAAAATAACCTCAGAATTATAATTAAGGAGCAAAATTTTCAAAGGACTGGGTGAAGAGCCAGTTTTTGATTTGCTTCCTGAAGCTTAGGAGGGTGGGAGCCAGTCATATCTCCACCTGAAGGGAGTTCCAACGCAAGGTAGCTATTACCAAGAAGACTTGGTTTCTGGCTGATGACTTCTGGGCCTTCCTGCAACAACAAAGACTGGAAGGTGTGAGTAGAACAGGAAACTGACCTGTGGGAGAGGTGCTCTGATAGACAGCAAGGTCTGAAATGAAATGAAATGGCAAAGCTTCCTTTTGCAGTTTTGGGATGTGCCTTTGCCATGTCTGTTAAAACACATCATGGCAAAGGGACATGTACCCAAAATTGCAAACCAAAGTCTTCAATTAGCAGCAATCTGTCAATGAGAATAGTGTCATTTTCGTTGTGTAGGTGACCTTGCCCAACAGGATTTCAATTGCTATCTATAAGACTGCTTCTCTCTGAGGAACCTGCCTCAGGGTATCAGTGGAAATCTTTTGAGCTTTTATTAATATCTGAGGTATAAACTGGTACTGAAAACCCTCTGACTGAACTTTATCAAGGGAAGCCCTCCTGGTCCTTCTTTAATTGTGTTTCAGTATATGACAAGGCCTTTCCTTTTAGGAAGGACCTTGGGCCATTAGATATCTTAATGCTGTTAATTGCTTTAACCACATTGCTGTTCTGCCCTCTGTTTTAATATTTTAAAGCTAAAGTACCTGAGACTATATTGTGTTTTGGCATATTAGTAGTAGTAATAAGTTTAGCTGCTTCTTCTGTTCCTTTTCTTGGTCTTTTGATACTATTTTTTGCTTGGTGTCTCTTTGTGAATGGTAGCGAGCACAAGGGGGTATCCTGTACACCATCTTGACAGCTGACATTGCTGTTGTCACCATTGAGTCTGCCTTTTCCTACATAAACTTTGTCAACATTTTTCTTGCTGGCAACATGTGCATGATACTGCATCATTCCCTGAAGTTTTGAACCATGTACAGTGGGACCTCAACTTATGAACGTCCCTACATACAAACTTTTCGACTTATGAATGGCTCAGTTCGCAAACATTGGCATCAACTTGCGAATGGAGCCTCGACCTACGAATGAAAATAAAGCCGGGGAAAAGGGCGAGAAATTCAAACTCCCCCTGCCTTTTTGCTTTCAGAGGTCGAGGCTCCGTTCGCAAGTCAATGCCATGTTTTTCCAAATGGAGCTATTGGTGCCTTCGGAGGTCTCAAACGGCTTCCTCTGATGTCGGTGGGAAAGCCCTCTGAGACCTCCGAAGGCGCTGATCACGGCGGCAGGGATCCCCAGGGAAGTCTCCCATGGTGGCGGGCAAGCCCTGGGAAACCTCCCTGAGGGCCCCCGCTGCCACAATCGGCCCTTCGGAGGTCTCAAAGGGCTTTCCCCCTGACATTGGAGGAAGCCGTTTGAGACCTCTGAACGCAAAAAGGCAGGGAGAAAGGGTGGGGATTTCGGCACTTTTATGAAATGCTAGAATGGATTAATTCCATTCCCATGTGTTTCAATGGGAAATTGTACTTCGACTTACAAACTTTTCGATGTATGACCACCGTTCCAAAACGTATTAAGTTCATAAGTTGAAGTACCACTGTATAGAGAAGCACAATATCCACATTCATAAACCAGAGGTTTGAAGACTTGAACATACATAATAGTCAGATATATCCTTTGCTAAACTTGTATTATTATAACTTGGCAGAAATACTCACTGAATGCACTTGAGGTGGTCGATGATGAACTGTGAGCTGAGGTCCTCCCGTTCCCAAAGTTAAACCATTGTTAACAACATATGCAGTTGTTTGAGGCACCCGCACTGTCACACCTAAACAAAAACCCACAGGAAGACAAGAATGAGTGCGTTATTGGGCAGTTGACACAAACTGTATTGTCATATATAATATACTTATTTTTAGCTGAATTGATCTGTAATTTCATTTATAGTCAAAATGCACTAATGCACAGTGACCTGAAATGTGGGAGGAAAGGGAGAAGTAAACACCTTGAATAGAAAGCTGAATCTGGAAGTAAAACTGGTCTGACTCTGGATATTATGTGACAACTATCTTTAGATGAATAATATATATTTTCAATGCATTTGTTCAGACTGAATGATGTCACTAATCTCTAGTGTAATGTACCCAGGCTATAAAAGACCACCTTTCCCAAGATCAGAAATCATTGCATTAATTCATTTTTTGCTATACTAAAGTTTTTTGGAGAGCACAGAGTGCTGTCCTCTGAAGATGCCAGCAACAGAGACTGGCAAAACGTTAGGAAGAACATATTTTCCAATCCTCTGGCCACTGCTGAGTTTTCCAAACTTGCTGGCATATTGAGTGCTCTGGTCCATGGGGTCACAAAGAGTCGGACATGACTTAACAACTAAACAACAACAACACCTGTTCCTACAGTGTACAGGGGATTGTTTTTTTTCTCCTATTTCACTGACCCAAAGAAAAATAGCAGTTTGTGACTTATCCTTTGCTTGAGCAATGTAAACAGTTACATCGTTTAGTCATTTGGTCGTGTGCGACTCTTCGTGACCCCATGGACCAGAGCACGCCAGGCCCTCCTGTCTTCCACTGTCTCCCGTAGTTGTGTCAAAATCATGTTGGTTGTTTCGCAGACACTGTCCAGCCATCTCATCCTTTGTCATCCCCTTCTCCTCTTGCCATCACACTTTCCTAACGTCAAGGTCTTTTCCAAGGAGTCTTCCCTTGTCATGAGATGGCCAAAGTATTGGAGCATCAACTTCAGGATCTGTCCTTCCAGTGAGCACTCAGGGTTGATTTCCTTTAGAATTGATAGGTTTGTTCTCCTTGCAGTCCAGGGGACTCTCAAGAGCCTCCTCCAGCACCACAATTCAAAGGTGTCAACTCTTCAGCGGTCTGCTTTCTTTATGGTCCAGCTCTCACTTCCATACATCACGACAGGAAAAACCATAGCTTTGACTATTCGGACTTTTGTTGGCAAGATGATGTCTCTGCTTTTTAAGATGCTGTCAAGGTTTTTCATCGCTTTCCTCCCAAGAAGCAGGCGTCTTTTAATTTCGTGGCTACTGTCTCCATCTACAGTGATCATGGAGCCCAAGAAAGTAAAATGTGTCACTGCCTCCATATCTTCCCCTTCTAGTTGCCAGGAGGTGATGGGACCAGTGGCCATGATCTTAGTTTTTTTTTGATGTTGAGTTTCAGGACGTTTTTTGCACTCTCCTCTTTCACCCTCATTACAAGGTTCTTTAATTCCTCCTCACTTTCTGCCATCAGAGTGGTATGCTTCCTGTCCCACATATAGGTTTCTCAGGAGATAGATAAGGTGGTCAGGCACTCTCATTTCTTTAAGGACTTGCCATGGTTTGCTGTGGTCCACACAGTCAAAGGCTTTTGCACAGTCAATGAAGCAGAAGTAGATATTTTTCTGGAACTCTCTGGCTTTCTCTATAATCCAGCGCATGTTAGCAATTTGGTATCGAGTTCCTCTGCCCCTTCGGAAGCCAGCTTGTACTTCTGGGAGTTCTCGGTCAACATACTGCTGAAGCCTACCTTGTAGGATTTTGAGCATAACCTTACCAGTGTGTAAAATGAGTGCAACTGTACGATAGTTAGAGCATTCTTTGGCACTGCCTTTCTTTGGGATTGGGATGTAGACTGATCTTTTCCAATCCTCTGGCCACTGTTGAGTTTTCCAAACTCGCTGGCATATTGAATGTAGCACCTTAACAGCATCATCTCTTAAGATTTTAAATAGTTCAACTGGAATGCAATCACCTCCACTGGCCTTCTTGTTAGCCAGGCTTTCTAAGGCCCACTTGACTTCACTCTCCAGGATGTCTGGCTCAAGGTCAGCAACTACATTGTCTGGGTTGTCCGGGATATCCAAATCTTTCTGATATAATTCCTCTGTGTATTCTTGCCACCTCTTCTTGATGTCTTCTGCTTCTGTGAGGTGTCTCCCATTTTTGTCCTTTATCATGTCCATCTTTGCACAAAATGTTCCTCTAATATCTCCAATTTTCCTGAACAGATCTCTGGTTTTTCCTTTTCTGTTATTTTCCTCTATTTCTTTGCATTGTTCATTTAAGAAGGCCATCTTGTCTCTGCTTGTTATTCTTTGGAAGTCTGCATTCAATTTTCTGTAGCCTTCCCTATCTCCCTTGCATTTTGTTTCCCTTCTCCTCTCTGCTATTTCTAAGGCCTCGTTGGACAGCCACTTTGCTTTCTTGCATTTCCTTTTCTTTGGGATGGTTTATATTGCTGCCTCCTGTACAATGTTACAAGCCTCTATCAAAGACACCATTTAAGGTCTGTATTGTCTACTTTTTAAATCTTGCTGTGCAACAGGCACCTTGGTTGTGCCATTTACACTGTTACCACTTTGTTTCTGAACGTGAAGTAATAATTGTTATCTTTAAACCTCAAATAGCCTGCAACCAAAATCCTAAAGGATTGCCTTCACCCACCCTATCTGTATGTTCAGGTCGCCTGCTATGTGTCTACAAGTTAAGAGCAACTAGATTTGTAAAGTCATGGAATACAGCTTTCTTAAGAGTGAGCTCTTAGTTACAAGAATTGCTTTCTACAACTTTGTACCATGTTCTTTTGGTGAAAAGGCTTTTAAAATGTATTTGTCAAAACTATTCTTTCATGAATCAGTGTGTCATAAGGTTTGGTCTCCATTCCATTTTCCTTAATTCGGACAGGGCTATTTTTGTATATTTACATGTTTCTGTATCCAGTACAGCAGTTAATTGTTTATATACCACCTCATGACAGTAGGTATATCTCTGAATAGTAAGATAAAAACATATTGACAGACTAGTTGAAAAAACAGTGCATTGAGGTTACATTCTCAGAATGAATCTAGCTACAATAAAAGTTACTTACCTGCACCCTGGGGGTTGACCTGCCTTAAGCTAGGGCTCTGCATGACAGTGGTCCGCACCGGATTCTGTCCTGATGGTGCAGGAAGAGTAGTATATACCACCTGGTGGTTACCCGGGGCTCTTGGTACTGGAAGCCTGGCAGTCGCTTGAGCCACTGGGCGATGGGATACATTCACAGTTGTCTGGGCTAGAAAAAAGAATAAAATTGTAATTAGGAGAGTAATTTCTAGTCTAGATCAGCCACTCAATTTTTTATTTTATTTTTTTGCTATGGCCCCATTAGGAGCTCCTCTTTGGTTCCAGGGCCCCGTGTCAAACAAGGATACAACATGAAAAGATGAATAGAAAAAATAAATAGAAAAATGTTCAGTCTGTGCCCCCCACTTCAAATGTGCCAGGGCTCCCCACAGGGCGATATGGCACCCATTGAGAATGGCTGGTCTAGATAGCATACATTGCATTAAACGAAAGCATATGAACCAAGTATTCTTTTGCTTTTCTGTAAAGGGATTTACTAACAAAAATTAAAAGTAAATGAAACAGATGATATTCAAATTATTTAATACTCACAGCAAATTCTTTATGGGACTCCACTATGTACATCATGTTATATATAAATATTCTAGCTGCAAAAAAAAGAGGTTACTTACCTGTAACCATAGTTCTTTGAGTGGTCCTCTGTGAATTCACACATACCTGTATGGGTATTGTCTGCGCCTGCGCTGACTCTCTCGGAAGATTCTAGAGCTAAAAGTAACAATTTTATGGTGTGATCCTCCACGAGGTATATGCTCCTCCCACCCACCATCTTCCCCAGTTCCTGAATTTTATCCGCCGAGCATGAAGGAAAGAATTAATTAATTACATAATCAACCCGTGACTGATAGAAGGGAAGGATGGGCGGGTTGTGTGAATTCACAGAGGACCACTCAAAGAACTATGGTTACAGGTAAGTAACCTCTTTTTCTTTCTCGTGGCCTCTGTGAATTCACACATATGGGTGACTAGCAAGCTGCACTTATCGGTTGGTGGGTCGTCATGGTAAGAAGGATGACAGGACAGCTCTGCCAAATGCAGCATCTTGGCGTGCTCTGATGTCCAGGCGGTAGTGCTTGACAAACATGGACGGTGTGGACCACGTAGCGGCACGACAGATGTCAGGATCCTCGGTGTCACATTGAAAGGCAGTAGAGGTGGACAGCGCCCTGGTGGAATGAGGTGTCAAATGTTCTGGAGGGGATTTCCCCAACAAGCTGTAAGCAAGGGAGATAGTCTGTACAATCCAACGTGCTATAGATTGAGAGGAGGCTGGGGCCCCTTTGTTTGGGCCATGAAAGCAAAGAAAAAGTTTATTGGACTTTCTAAAAGTTTGTGTCCATTCGACGTAGAAAGCCAGGGCACGTCTGACATCGAG